GCCGGCATGGGGGGGGGGGGGGAAGAGGTGACACTTGCTCCTCTGCGCTCGACATAACAAGGACCAAGAAAGGGGAACAGCAGAGATTGCTTCTGGAGGAGTGTGAAAGCTTCCGCATCACGTCTGCGGGAAGCGAAGGGTTAAGAACCATGTCAGGGCTCCAAGGAGCTATTGATTGCCACTTCTATATTCTGCACGTGTAATGGGGAAAATTCAAATGAAATGACCCGGCGTTTCCTTCATTGCCACACCAAATTAAACCTCCAGGCGCCTGCAGTGCTACCGGGGCCGCTTCAGGGCCACTCTCTGCCCAGCTTTCCCTCTGCCTGCGGGGGGTGGGGGGGGATTCCCTGGGATCTCTTGAACTTTTCTTTTGGGGCGAGAGGTCTTTTCAGCAGCCTTTGCTCTGCCTCTCGCTCTGCAACACAGCCCAGGGCTCATCTTAACCGTAACGCGTACACAGACAGCAAGTCATCGCCCGGCGGCTGCTGTCCGGGCAGGACAAGGGTGGTGGGGAGGGGAGGAACAGTGGATGTTGCCTTGAACGTTTTACATTTGGTAGCAGACGTGAGATCGGGCTCTGGGGATGAACTGAAATGCTTCCCCCTCCCCCCCCCCCACACACTTGCTGTTTGGGATTTTAATCCTAAAAGGGAGAAAACACTTTGATTTGAATAAGGGGAAGGCACCCAGGCCCCAGCTCTTTTGGGTCCAGCAGAGTCCGGATACGGGCAGGCTCCTGCAGAGGCAGAAAGACGCCAGTGCTGTCACTGTTGAGGCTGTCGAAGGGAGACAGGTGAAGGGAGGAAAGCAGACCAGCAGGCTTGGCTCAGAGATGAGCATTTACGCTAAAAACCTCCTCTCGGGGGGCCCTCTGGGTAGTGGGGACGGAAGAGGGGAGCTGTGCTGTGCTAGGTGCCAGGAGCAGCGGCACAAAAACTGTCCCCTTCTTGCAGGTTTCAGGTCCTCTTGCAGGAGCCATGGACTCCTAGGTCAGGTTCTCTGCCCCTCCAGCCGTCTTCCCCGTTACTTCTTTCTTTTTCCTTCCAGAGCTGGTGTTATTCTCCGAGCGGCCACTTGGGGTCGCGCTTTATGCCTGTTTGAACGTAAAAACAGTTTTCAAAAAAGCCTTAATCTCCCTTAATCGTTACAAAATGTTAAAAAAAAGTCCTCTTACTGGACCAAAAAACAAAACAAAACAAAACAAAAAACCCTAACAAGCCGCCTTCTTCTTTGCAAGGAAGAGGGGAAGCGGCCGAGGTGGGGGTCCGCTTAGGCAGGCAATTCGTTTTACCCCTTCGCCTCCCGGATTGTTTGCAATATAGTCCGTGCCAGCGCTTCTGTTTTACTTCGGGGCGGTATTTGAGGCTTACACAACAGCTGGCAGGCTGCGAGCGGGCGCGGGGAGCGCTTTGCAGCCGTGCCCCGGTGTGGAGCGCACACGCACACGCGCCCGCACCCGGGGCGCAGACAGAAGTGACAATTCTCCCTGGTCACCTCTGAATCCTCCGCTAGATTAAGCACGTTTGCTCTGCCCTCCCGGGGGAAAGGACCAGCGCAAGTTGCGGAAAGTTGCAGCCGGTCCTTCCCCCGCGGGGCAGCGGGGCAAAGGGACTTGGCTCTGCTTGGAACAAAGGGCCGGGCAGCAAGTGGAAGACGCGGATCCCGCTGCCTCCTGCCTTTGTGACCGACGCCGGGCACAGAAGGAGGGAGGGAGCGAGGGAAGGAGGGCGGGAGGAAGAGACCGAGGAGAATCTGGGCAGATGAAAACATGAGAGCAGGGGGGAGCGGGAGAGGAGCGAGAAGGGATCAGGCTGCAGCCCGCTCCTGTTCTCCA